ATTGACTGTAAAGACAAAAATGTATTTGTCAGGATGCTGAAAACTCAATAACCAAAAATGTCAGGTCCTTTAAGGGTAAGAAGCCCTTGTATTGCAGTGGTGAAGCAACATTGCCTACATCACTGCTGTCCCATACTGGTGGAAAATAAATCTGACTAGTTCCCTCTTCTACTCTTTTTCAAACTGTTCCTCATTTATTTTTGTGGACTAAGTAAATTGAGAAGCCTTCTTTGCATTCCCAGTGCTACGAGCCTATTTTCATATACATTCAGCAAGCAAATTTATTAAACTGTTTTATGAAAAAAAGAGACAAAAATGTATTCGTCTTTATCATATATGGCCTTCATAAACTGAAGACGGCTCTCAGCATATTCCAATGGCCTTCAGTTTCTCTTTTCATGCATAAACACTACAGCACAATGTGCATAATTGTGAGTTAAGGATAATGATTCATAGGATGAAATGTGACAAAAGTACACATTGTTTAACCATTTTCCAAAAAGCCAAATGGTTACATAAGTAAACTCAAAGTGAAGTAGATGTTTATTTATGTGCACAGAGTATAGAAATAAATATAAAGGGGGTTATTCACTATTAAGCCAAATGATATAGCCTTACAGCAGCCAAGTGGCTCAGCTGAGCCAAAGGCATATGCTTCGGCTCGACTGAGCTGAAGTGACAGCTGAAGCAGGGCGAACGGCCTGCCGAAGTCCGGCCATTCGCCCCGCAAATGACAGCTGGGCAGTCAGCCATGATCTCACGGCTGGCTCCGCCCAGTTGTAACGACAGATAAACGTCCCCAAATAGCCTGGGGACGCTGAACTGTCATTAAACAATAACAACCGAGCGGAGCTGGCTGTGAAGTCACGGCCGGCTCCGCCCACTTGTTATTCATTGGTCTCTAGCAGGTTCCAGCCAATAGGAAACAGTTGGGCGGAGCTAGATGTGACTGCTAGCTCCGCTCAATTGTTTTTCTTTTTAAAATTATTTTATTTTCTAAAATCTTTATTTTTTAATTTGACTATTTATTTACATTTTTTAAACCTTTTTTTTTTTTCTACTATTTTCACCGATTTTCTATTCTGCTCGGTACCACGGAGGTACCGAGCAGACTAGCCGAGCCGAACGCCGCTATGTGAATAGGAGCGAACGACAGCGAGTGAGCTGCTGGAGTTTCGAACGCAGCCAATGTACGGCTGAAATCATCCGTACTGAGCCGGAGTGAATAGCCGAACGTCGTTCGGCTCTGTTCACTTCCGCTCAGTTATTCCTTCGGCAGCTCAGTGAATAACCCCGTTAGTAAAGCATCAATTTGGGCCTCGTGACTTGATCACAGCCTGGGACCTACAGACATGGACAAGTTTGTTAATACCCTTCCACAAAAAAACAAAGAACCCGCAAACATCTCAGAAATGTACCTGGCTAAATGGTTGACATCCTTTGATGCTTACTCCATATTTTATAATAATCAGACTTTTTAATTTTAATTCAACATATTTTTTTTTTTTTATTGTAAAACCATTTAAAATGCCATGGACAAAAATGATGGGAATCTTAAGCAAGCCATACATTATGAATTTTCTTTGCTGGAAGAAAATATTACAAACTACTTTAACAACTTGAAAGTAAATGGATCTAAAAATTACAGGCCACAAAAGGCACCTGGCCTTAATGAGGTCCTAAGTTATAAGCCGTTCTTATAAATATGTTATTTTAGATGTAAACTGATCTGGGACAAATGATGATTGAGCCCCATTGGTGTTTAACGGTTCAGTGAATTGATCTTGTGCTATTATAGATGTGGACCCTTAAGTATGTGTTCACAGGGCCAAATACACATCATTAATTCCAGTATACTTCAAATGACAATTGTAAGATCGCTTTGGACCAGTATTCATGTACATACCTCATATTTTGAATGTCCCATATATAATGTATTTGTTATTAACAATATAATTATAACATGCTCTTCGTTTTTAACAGTAAAATTGCTACAGAAATATGTACATGTCACTTATATATGCTGTCTTTCACGTGTCGTTCTATGGACACTGGGTAGTTTTGTGGACACCAGAGAATGACCGGTTATATGCACACAGGCTGCAATGGGCTCAGGTGGGGGTTGCGTTACATCTGACCTGTGCATATAGGTTCACCGTTGGGAGCGATTGCCTACTACCTGATGTTTCTAGGAGTGGGGTTTGACCATGGCTGAGTGTCAGTCAACTACTATGGTGCACACCTCTCATGTGACCTTTTGGGTTGGATTATATATTTGACAAGTTGGTGCAATAGCAAATGATTTGTGGGGCCTCTTATCTGCTTGTCTTATTGTATTGTTCAGTGCGTATACATTTATACCTTGTACTCCTGGACCAGTGTAGAGCAGGCTTAGCCATAGGAATTAAGAAACATTCCTTTATTTACAGGCCGCACTAGCTGGACCCTGCATTGATCTTCCTGGAAAGTCGTCGTCGTCGTGTCCCCCCCCCCCCCCCCCCTCCCCGGCAGTGTATCATACCTCACCTTGGATACGCCCCCAGTTGTTTTGGTAGTCCACAGAACACAAAGCAAGTTCCATGTTACACACTGGAGTATGCAATTGGTATTTTGCTGAAATACGACTAAACATATTGTTTATTTATTTATGATACTAATACACTCACCTGAGATTCCTGAGGAAGCATGGCTGCGAAACATAACAAACCTTAAAGGGAGTTTGACAAACAGCAAGAACACATGATTCCGGAGAATTGTGATCTAATCATATGATACGACGTTGGCAAATGTATACACAACTTGATAGTGTCATTGAAATCTTGATTTTATTCTGCTATGCTTTTAAGATAATATGCAAATAAATGTGTTATTTTATTAAATATAAGCATGAGGTTGACCATTAAGTAGCAACTTAAAAGCCCCATAAACAAGGTTTTTGATTCCGATAGGTATTTTAGGGGTGTGGCGCTCAGTTTTTATCTCTGTACCTCCACAAAACATACATTTCTATATAATGAGGTTAAAAGGGAGGGATGCACCGATACCGATACATCGGTATTGGTGTAGCATATTCGCCCTAATGCTCTGATGCCTAGCTCGATACTTCCTGATTGGTTGGAAGCTGGCCAATGAGGAAGGTAGGCACCGTGTAACGATGCATCGCCCGGCTTTCTGATTGGTCGGGAAGCCAGCTTCATGCTTTCTCATCACCTAGTGACAAGAATGGGGACGGCTGCCCTTCTATTCGGGAAACCAGTTGGAGAGTCATTGCACGCTGCCTGGCTTCCTAAATGAGACTTCCGGTACTCGGTATCAGCGAGTACCGGAAAAAAAATATCGGTACTCGATACTGAAATACCGGTATAGGTGAATCCCTAGTTAAAGGTTTGACTTGGCCTCCAAATCTCAATCAAATTGAGCATCTGTGGGATGCACTGGAAAAAAAAGTCAGATCCATGGAGGCCCACCTTGCAACTTACAGTACTTAAAAGGACTGATGGCTTGGTGCCAGATACAACAGCATACCTTCAGAGGTCTAGTGGAGTTCAAGGCTCGACAGGTCAGGGCTGTTTTGGCAGCAAAAAAGGGGGGAACCTACTCAATATTAAGAGGGTGGTCATAATGTTATGGCTGAGCGGTGTATTTCTCTATGTTGTATTGTTTTGATAGTCTCCTACCCATCCCACATGCATCCTCTTGTCCGGTCAACATTATAACCCTGGCATTCATATTTGTTTTTCTAAATGAACCACTAGTTGAGGGTGCAATATGGATATGCATTTTGGCAATTATCAGTATTACCATTTTAAATAATTAGTATTTCCCTTTGTATAGCATGGATCTGTGCTCTGATTGAAGTTTCCTCTCACTTACTGTCAGGACAGGAAATAGCTTTCCAAAAGGGGCAACACAAAAAATGGCCCCTTTATAGAACATGAAAGAATGTTTAAAACTTTTATCAAAGTTTTTATTGCGGTCTGTGCCTTCCTGTCCCCATGACAATTACACCGACCATTACTTGTACGGGTGTCACAGGGACAGGACATGAAGGAAACAGATAAAAATTGCACAGTAATGTTAACCCTTTTAACAAAACATCTGAAGATATTAAAGCTGAACTGCAGGCAGATATGACATAGCAATTCATGCAGGTTTGTGTTCATTGGAAAATCATTACATGTATTTTTAAAAGCAACTAGTGGAAGAACCTGAATTTGATCTAGTATCAATCAGCCCTTGTAATCCTCTACCTTGGAGTGGAAGGAGTAGCAGGACTAGAACCTAGCCAGCTGTGCTGCAGTGTTCATGTGTCTCAACAAGGAGCAAACATCTTCACTCGCCAAATACAGGTTGGGGGCAAGAGTTTGTATATACATAACTGCAGTAGAGAAAAGTCAGGTCTTCAGGTTGGTTGTGCTCAATACATCTCAGGAATAAATGGACATAAATACATATAGAAGAGTTGCTTAACCTGCCAAATGATTTGTATTTCGCTTGTGTAACTTGACGGCTTGCCTGGAGTTCATCTTTCAAGGAAATTTAAAAAAATTAAAATGGCAAAAGTACATTCACTTACATTATATTCCCACACCTTGTGTGCCATCATATTAAAAGACAATAAAATAAAGCAAATGCTGTTGAATCTTTCCCAGATTTGATTTTATTTAAACACTGTTCTCGCTTCTAGAAGGAAGGAAAACAAATGCAAAAAAATATATAATATATACGGAATAGGAGTCGATGGACAGCACACCAAGCAAAGCCATCAGTTTATTGAGTGGTTATCAAATAAATCATCATCACAGATTTGATTTGTAATGGGAAATAGGAAAGTGGTGGAAGAAATTTAAGGGTTAAAAATCCACTTAATCAGCATTCACAAATTCATTCTAATAAATAGGAAACATCCTGCTATCATGGCAATATACCCCAGAGACCCCCTCCCTCCCCCCATAGTCCCCTTCTCAACAGAAAGCTGGATCTGGAATTCATAGAGCTTCTTTTTAGTGTTTTATCCATAACACATTTCTAAGTAGGGCAACATCCTATTGTGGTCCAGTAACACAGAAGTGCTTGAGTGAGGTGCAATATTTACATGTAGAACAGCAGAGACACCTTTCCTATAGAGTTGAAAGGAACAATGCTCCATCACGAGTTCATGTTGAAATGCAGCAATGCTTCGGGTTGTAAATGTAGGTAAAATAGAGTGTCGGCAAAAACACTTAATTTTTTTTATGTAGAAAAGAACAGATGATGTTCAATGCAAGTTAACACTCTGCTTGCAACTCAAGACCCTGGAACTGCTATGAGGCAGAAGCAAACAAAAACTAACCTTACTGTGAGGTGCTGCTTTATTAATGCAAATGGATGAGGGGCGGGCAAACGGAAATAACACGGACAGCCAAGTCCAGCATAACACTATGGATTTAATCAAGAAAACAAGAATTCATCTATGGTCTTCTATCTAAACAACTTCAGCAGTACTGTGGGGAGGGCAAAATACTATTTCTTGGTATTCAGAGGCACAGTGAAAAGGAAGCAGACACCAAAAGTCAAGTGTACTGCCAATATAGGGTTGCCACAAAAGATGGTATTAGGGTACAGGGACATTCTGTGGTAGTAGCATGAAAATGCCAGTTTTTGACCCATCACCCCTGGTCATTGCCATTACAAACTTAATAACTCCACAGCTCACAACAGAAAAGGGTTGGTAGCACTCGTCACAGCTTGTGTAGATAGATTAGGGACCATGGGCTGTGCCACCATCTGCTGTGGTGGCATCATAGCAGGCAAGCTCATAGGAGGTACACCAGGAGGTACTACCGCAACTGGGAGGCCACTCATTCCAATCACTGGTGACACATTGGCTAAAGGAATTCCTGGGGCTAACGGGGATACTGACACCATGGGGGAGACAGAACTATATGGAATTGCTGCAGGTGCTTGTCCAGCTGGTGTAACTGGCTGTCCCATTGACATCACAGGGCTGGAACGAAGTTGGTTCAAAGTAAGAGATGACTGTTGGTTGGTCTGGAATGGATTTGTTGTGGTCGAACTGGGTGCTCCTAAAATAAAAACAAATGAAAGGAAAATTAAGCATGAACATATTGCACTAAAACAAATCTGTGTGTCTTCCCTGCAGCAGCCCCCATGTCCCTGCCATTAGTGCCTAATGCCAGGCTGGTCTGACTAACAAAACTACTGAGATGTGCTGAGCTGGCCTGTTCCCCACACATTCCTACAAGCCCAACACTATGATGAGCTGTCCTACTGGCCAAGAGAAATATGCAGTAAGCATGAAGTGACACCAGGAAAAGCTGGAGCTTTGCTCATCAAAGTGGCAGGAAGATGTAAGCTGCTATACATATCTACATACAATATCACAATGGGTTCTGGAATATTAAGATATCAAGATGTTTGGGAAAGGTAAACACCAATATGAGCAGGTTTGCAGCCTGTGCTTTACAGTTATGATGGCTAGGGCTAACCTCTTGTCATAATAAACACCATTGAGACCCTTAGGCCTAGTATGAAAAATAGCATGTGTGCAGCATGCTTTTACAGACGTTTTGCAAAGCTTTTCAGCAAGCTTCAAGCAGCTTTGTTAAAGAGTTTAAAGCTGAACTTCAGGGTAAGCATATATAGTCTACATACAAGAGCCATGTGTATTCTTACTTGGTGTGCTCGGTGTATATATTCCAGATCTGTACAGTAATCCAACATTAAACTTTGCCTCTGTGCAGGAGTTTTCTGTAATAAATACCATTTACTGCTACTCTTCTCTTGCACAGGGTGACTGGTCTTGTATCTGCCCCCTCCTGTAATTATTTGGAGGAAGTCCACAAAGAAAGTATATGATGAGTCCCTCCCACAGCTCTGCTCTCTGCACAGCCTATGTGCAGCATAGTGATGTAGTCACCACTACTTTTCAATATGGTAATTAACAGGTTTGAAAAGGTATTTGCTGCACACAAAGGTGGATTTACATCCTTGGTGGCTATTGAGGAAGCTAACGTCCTAAAAAAAACAAAACAGTTTGGGGAGTTTAAACACAGATCTTAGAAGGAGTGCTGACTGTCATTTTATACAAGCTGCTGACTTTCATCAGGATCCAAGTAGTACCAAAGCTTACTGCAGACTACTAGCACCAGGTCTAGGGTGTTGCATTTGACATTTGCAATGCACTTTAAAACAGGTCAGAAAAATCCCATTGACTTTAATTGAGAAGTACATATGGCAGCTCAGAGGTTGCGCTGCGTTTCTTTGGATGCAGCATATCCTATCGAAGTAAACCTAAACTGCAGGCAAAGCAAATCAAATACAGCCTTTTCTTATCAAATGCTGTATTTGCTATTCAAAAGCATGCATTTGAGTTTTAACTGCCCTTCAACATAGCCAGCTCTTAAAGTGATAGCACTCCTATTAATACCTGTGCTTAACCCCCCCAAACTGGAACTGAATGGTGCCTTAAAAGTTCAAAGAAAGCTATTGGATGCTTGCTATACACATTTTTCTTTCCCATTGGAGTTCTTTTTAAACCAATTTCTTTATGACAGCCATCTGTAACTAGGTTTAGAAAGGTTGAAAAAAGCAAAATGTAAATAACTTCCATGGGAATAATGTGGACTATTTACTCCCCATATGTTATCCGACTTATAATACAATAGCATAATCTTAACAGGCCTGTCTCCAGCTCATCAAGCATCTTGTTTTTGTTTTGCTAAGGTGAAGTGACTACATATGGACTACTAACCTCTCAAGTAACAAGTCACTCACCTGTTACAAGGAAGGGATTGGAGGTCTTGATATTTTGTATGGTGGGTTTTGAAATAAGGGAGTCCAAGTCTACTAAGGCAGCGTTAGGCCCAAGGAAGGATTCTGGTGTCTTCCGGGTTGTCTTGGAATTTTCAGAAAAGGAGCTGCTCATTGCTGCCATGTCAAAGGCATCAGGACTCCTTGATCCAAGGGAGCGAGACATTGGAACTTCTCCAGCCAGAAGATCCAACTCGCCTGTTAAAGACAAACAGAAGAAACATATACCACGAAATAGGAGGACATGCCAACTTTGAAAACCATCTCCTGGCTTCTGGATGTCCAATATAGAATGAAAAGAAAGAAAAAAGCATAAAGAGCCAAGAGCGTACAATGAAGTTTGTAGTTCAGTCAGCAATGGATACTGCAACGTGACAGTAACTAACATGACAAAACCTACAAAAGAATATATTAGTTCCATTAAGTGGAATTTCAAATTAAAAATTTCTTAGCTGCTTTTGTTGTAGGGGGAAGTTACCACATGGATGACTATCTGCAATAGGCAGGGCATCTACTTACCAATGTAATGCCACATTTCACTATCAAGGGAAGCTGCAGATGGAATGCGGTTTTGCAGTGCTTGGTTACATTAAAGTGGTAGTAAACCACCAACACAATATAGATCTAGTGGGCCCCCAGTAGGTGTTTGCCATAATGTGCTAGCATTGCAATGTCAGCACCCTCCTCCGTCGCCTGTGCTGCCATCCTCTTGATTTGCCGGGACGGGATAATGTAACTCTTGTGCATGCATGTGGGAGTTACTTTGTCTCGGCACAGGACCTTGCTGAGCTTGTGCACCAAGCTGCGCATGCACCGCTCAATGTACACAGATCCCAACAGGCATGGATTCGTTGGTCAATGCGGTCACCTGACGGCACTGACCAATGAGAAGTGCTTCTTAGCACTACTAAATACGGTTTTGGTTAAAATTATTTTTTTGTATCAGGACAAGTAGATTGTCATGAGGGACAAGTAGATTCGGCACCCGCTTTAGTACTTGGACAAGTAGTTTTTTCTAAAAATTCCACACCCATACATACATATTATCTCTACATCTCTCTACATCTCTCTACATCTCTCTACATCTCTCTACATCTCTCTACATCTCTCTACACACACACACACACACACACTTTATTATTAATTTTTTAAAAGAACTTTACATCAGGATTAAAACTGGGAATGTACTGAGAGGCAAATCATCCTTGCTCCAACATTTCTTTGGAAAGTTTATACTTTTCCCGGATGGAAAGTAAACACTGGTTCCTATTACCCTCAAGCTGCAAAGATAACATGGATAAATTAAAAAGGAAGTAATAGGTAAACCATTAGTATGATGGAACAAATGCGGTGCTTTTTCGCATCAACCGTTAACCATAAGTCAACATCTGCAGTCCTGCAGGGGATCTGTAAGCAGTCCAAAAGGATTCCAGTTTAAAATGTGGCCCATTAATGTCACATTCACTATTATTTCTAAGGAACAGGCATTACTGAACCCAAAATCAATGCATCAGTAATTTATTTTTATTTTTTTAGGAACTGCACACAGACTCCATAAGAAGGACAACAAGCACAGTGTTACATTTAAGTTAGAATTAAAAATGTCAGCATTGCGCTTCCCAGTGCTTTTAGTAGCATATGAACAGTTTTGGTAACCAGTGAGCAACAAATGAGTTCACATGTTCCTGGCCAGGGGTAGGATCCTTACTAAAGTCAGCATTCTGGCTAAGGCTACGCAGTGATCCAGTGGAGATAATATTGGCAGCCTATGCATTTCTGTATGCAAAATATTCCATCAGGGAATATGCCGACAAGCCGGCTCACCAACTGTACAAAAGTCACCAAAGTAAATATCTATCAGACTTAAGCATTTTTTTCTTGTTCAGCCCTGCAGGCCAAATGAGATCAAATGTTTGAATTCCCCCATCCACGCTGTTTGCACTACCAGGCCATTGTATTCTGGCAGTGGCATGTCTCATGCTGTCAGAATACCTGAACAGAGACTGCAGTTGATTAGGTGCAGTCAGTGTTCGGTCGTCCCAGCCCCATTGACAAACGTCAGTTGGAAAAATGGCTTTTGTTAAAAAGGAGGGGTGCTGAGAGGGCCATACACTGCTCAAATCACAGACACAAAAAAAAATTACATGAAAGATGTAAAAACTATCAATTTATACTTTATGGTGCTAAGTGGACAGATGTACAATGTTTTTGGAGGGCCAATTCTCCTTGGTCAGACAAAGTCTGTGCAGCTCTCAGCACAGGTTCCCTTCAATATTTAAAGTAAAAATAGTACAAAATGTACATATAGACAGATGAGATGACACACATCTAGGTTTGCAATTGCACAAGTTACGATAACAAATTTCAAAAAGAGAAAATGGTACAATAGAAAAAAATAAAAACATTTTTTTTTTTTTTTAAAAGGGGGGGGGGGGGGGGAATGTCTGCCCCGTTTATACAGTCTTTTTTCAACCCTCACTTGCAGAACCAACCTGTAAGGTTTAGTGGAAGAGAATAAGGGGTTTGGAGGAGTAACATATATTTTATAATTCTACCATATTGAAAAACCTAAAAAGAACAGATTAGGGGATTTAGGTATAATACCAAAAACCTTAAATGACTATGAATAATATAAACAATCCAGATGCGTTTTTTGTAAAATGTATGACTATGACTGAGCACTAACAGTTACAATTGTTGTCTCTGGCAGCTCTCCATAAAAAAAAAAAAAATACAAAAAATTAACTTTTGTTTTTATAAAAAAACTATTGTCTTTTCATTCCCATCCTAGTACATTCCATTTAAGGTGGTCAGCCATTCTTTAGAAGGTAGAGATATAGAGGTTTTCTAATATTTAGTGTCTAAAGATTTGGCCACAAGTGGTTGTGAGGGAAGACTAGGTTTTGGGCTGCATGATAACTATTATGCGTGTTTTTAGTGAGCGTTTTTACAAACAGATTGTGGCCTCCTGAGCAGATTGTGCCATATTCATTAGCATGGGCAAAACACGCTGCAAATAATCGCAACGTGCGTTTTTCAAGCGTTTCTATTTTGCCAATGGGGAGAAAAAGCTCTGACTCTGCCCCAAAGTAGCTCATGTAGTATTTAGTGCGACAGGCGTATTCTGCTTGCGACAAAACGCAGAGGCGTGAACAGGGGCCATAGAAATAAATGGGAATCCTGGGGTTGAGCGTTTTGTCACGCTGATTGAAGTGCCACAATACGCTTAGGTGTGAATGGAGCCTTAATAGGATGTTTGCGCTTCAGCCAATGGGCAATGTATCTTTAAAAGCATTGTAAAATCAAGTCAAACATATCTCTCTAATATAATTTAAAATTAGAGGACACGCAACCCATATATGTTTATAGGAGCCATAAGCAATATTACATTTCCAATATATAATATTTAAATCTATCCTCATTTTGGCCAGTTTATTATCAGATATCAACTGTTCAATAACTTACATTGGAGCTCTTGGTATTTAGTTTACCTAAAGATCATATAAAAAAGGCACAACTGTGTAAAATTAAGCCATTTACAGCTGGCATGCCTTAGCAAATTTCCCATTGTCTATTCCTTTCTCCAGTTTACCAATTTGCCAATGCCACTCTAAGAGCAACAATTTAATACCTACAACAATCAATAAGAAATCACCTTTTCTGCAGTTATGCCACATGTACAAGGCCTCAACTGTTGCAAAACAGACCATGCTAAAGGCAGTATAGCCGCAGACGTGCAGTGTCTGCCCCTGAAATCGCAGTTGTACTGTTTTGCGGGACACACGGTTTCGTACCGAGCGGCAAATGCGAAAGTCTGAACAATGCACATTAAAGTTTGTTTTTTCTGTACAGCTAAACATGCGCGGACAAATGCTCCTGTTTGAATGGAGCCTAAGGGGGCAATAAAATCAGGTCCTTGATCTGTGGTTTTACCGCCCCAGCTGCCTACTGCAATGTCAGCAATGCACCCAAACAGTGCTGTATACATTGCTGCGGCGTTGTGTTGCAGCACAAAATATTGTGTTTGTGTATATGTTGTGTTTGGCAGGCAGTGCAGCTAGTCAAGAGCGATCATTTCAATGAATGGGGCCGCACCAGAACATCCTCCATTGGGATGGAAAAAAAAACTGCATCCAGGAGGTGGCAGTGTTGCCTCCTGAACGCCGGTGGCTGCTGACCCACTGGCTCCTGGAAAGTGATCTGAACAAAGCCTAAAGGAAGCTCCTGCCTACCCACTTTCATAGGCACACAGCAACCGTCATGCTGTTGCTAAAGTCAGGGTGTGTAGGAGCAGGTCAAAACTTGGTGTCCGGAAAAGACATCCCCTTATCTGCCAGCCACCCACGTTACAAAGATGTGTTTGAAACACAGCTACTATGCTATGCACTATGGACTGGGGGTATTCAGAAAGATTCACTCCCGATCTGGAGTTTAGCTTGAAACAAGTAACTCAAAAAAACACAAACATATGTTTTAGTTGGTGCAGGAAAGAGCTGGCAGTGCTGTCCTGTCCCATGAACTACTTATTCCAGACAGGAAGGGAGAAACACACCTCCCCAATAGGGTCACAGACAAAAACTTTAACTCTTCACCACTCTACCAAAAAATGTCTGGAGTCAGGCTTTAAGGATGATAGTGTTAGCTGTGAAATAAATTAAATGACAAAGTATTTTAAAGATACAAGACTAGGACGGCAATTAACCATTAAAAATATTGGATCTGACAAAAGGTATTCTGTGCCTAGACGCTTGGCCATCATTTCCTGTACAATTGCCATTAAAGTGCTTATACTAGGTTACATTGGTTATGAACACAGGTGAGCAGAAGCAGCTTTGGATTACATTTGCATGGAGTTCAACTGTTACAATCTGGCTCTCATGCAGGCATGAAAGAAATGAAAGACCATGTAAGCAGCCCTGAAACAGAACAGTTTAAAAATAAAACAAAACACACCAAAAGCATTAAGCAGAAAGCAAATGGAATGACAGTAAGCAAGCAGGCAGGAAAGAGAGCGTTTCCAAACCTGTGCTGCTTCCTGACTGGGGAAGGGTGGTCCTCAGGTTGTCAAAATCGGAAAACTCATCTGCAGAAGTGATGAACTGGTCAAAGGTGGTACTGGCTAAGGAGGCAGGAGGAGCAGACGGAGACAAGCATACATACATAAAGACAAACATGTTAAAAACAAAACAAGGATTCACAAAAAACAGACAATAGGTAAAATAGCGGAATGGTATCGGACTCATGCACCAGAGCTGAACTCTGCCAATTATTGTATATGCAGCCACTACAAAACTTCGATAATAAAAGCAGGATTCTGGACACTACATTGTATTTCCTGAGCCATGTTAGACCAAATTAAATGACTAACTAGCAATGCCAATTCATGCCCAGAGATTAGGTGATACAATGATGGCAGGACTGAGAGATAATTTGGGTGTCCACTGTGAACTAAAGACCCCAACAGGACCCCTTAGCAGATGATCTTGGTAAAAAAACATATCCACTTTGAATACCAAGTTATTAGATAATCAAACAGACTTAACATTGAACTCCAGGCAGACCATAATAGAACAAATTTAAAAGTGACATTAAAGTCACAATCCCCCCCCCCCCCCCCTTTAAGGACTTACCTTAAATGATGCCTCTTGATCCGATAGTCATCTTCTTTCCAGTAGTCCCTCCAGCGCTGGTGCCAGTCTCTGATCCAGCACTGGCTGCTGCGTGTCCCACGGTGTCTGTCCTCGTGCACGCTACCGGCTGCGTGCATTTACTCACACTGTACACATGGATGTCTTGTCGTACTCCTTACCAAATATCCCATTCTTCAGGGAAGGGTGCTTTTAGTGATTGTGGATGGCGCCGTGGCAGTGCTAAACATGTGAACAATGTCAGCAGCACACCAAAGTCCTTTCAGGATCATCAAGTGTTCATCTATTGCTAGCAATAGATCTATGCAGCCCCCAATGGTTTAATTATACTTTAATGCTTGTCTTTATTGATTAGTACATCAATATATAAATCTTTTTTTTTTTGTTAGGCCGGGTTGTCACCGGCTGTCCTGAAATCATTAGTCTGTATTGTTTTAGAAAAACTGTCACATGACACTATACAAAAATGTATCAGCACTCATACTAGTAAGTACTTGCAAAACTGGTATCGGTGCATCCCTTTATTTATAAAAACAAAATCGTACATTAAAACAGAGATGTACAAATCCCACGAGCTCCGTGTGCTCCTTACCAATGACAGCTGCCTCCTAATTTTTGAATTTTTCTCTAGTCTAGTCTCGGAGCTCAAAAGTATCGGTACTTATATATATATTTATTTACATTTACAAATCGGGCAGTAGGTTTGGATCAAACACTGATCCTTTCTCAAGCAAGAATATACAATTATCTCTGAACCTTGGATTGTCTATGGAAGACTTGCTACAGATGTTACCTGCAGATACCTAAGAGTAAGTGCTGCCCAGACTCCACTACGGATTCCTTCCATCCATCACCCATGGCTAGTTACATGATTTCCATTTAAACCAGTTATGACATTTTAAACTGTGTGGCTGCAATGATGTAATCTTTAATACAGAAAGCGAAACAATGAGCTCTTCTCATTTGCTCCCTTTTGGTCTGTTTAATATAGGTTTGAAAATGTGTTCATCTTGCACTACAGAAAAATAGCCTTTATCATGTAGAGGTCGGAGAGTGGGAATGTTAGAGCAGTTTAGCATAAGAAACTAGGCAGGGCTGTTGGCTCACAACAGGACTTAGAAGCGCGGGACATTTCTGGCAGATCAGCAGGTATTTTTCTGTACTTTAAATGGAGAGAAAAAGAAAAAAGGGGATAATGTGCATGTATTACAGAAAAGTAGTGCATTATTATTTCACCCAGTGGCGTAGCAATCACCATTAGCGACCCAGACGGCCGCTATGGAGCGCACAGGGGGGCCCGGCCAGGACATTCCTGATGCCCTGCGGGCCGCCTGGTTCACTTTGGCATCTCACGCTGCTGGCTGTCACTGGCAGCTGTGAAGAGAAATATGCCGCTGTTCAGATCACTGACAGTGATCTGTGCAGCGGCGCGTTCCTCTTCACAGCCGCTGCTGAGTCAGTGAGAGCCAGGGGTGGAGCAGGTTGGACCCAGCAGTGGAGGAGGCGGGGCCCAGTGTTACCATTATTGGAGGCGGAGCCCTGCGACAGGTGGAGGAGGCGAGGCTCATCACCGAGGGTGGAGGAAGAGGAGGCGGACAGGTAAGGAGTGTGACCAGCCCATCTGAGGGTGACCCTGCAGAGCCCACATTAGAGAGTCTATGGTGGGCTCTGCAGGGTCACCCTCAGGTGGGCTGTGTGGGATCTCAATTGGGCTCTGCAAGGGGTGTAACTAGAGGTCAAGGGGCCCCATACTAAATTTTGCTGTGGGGCCCTGTGATTTCTAGTTACGCCCCTGATTTCACCTCAACATACACTAAGTGGTTGACAGATCACAATGCAAAGCATTTAACAGAAAAAAACTGCAAAGCATAACAATGATAGCAGTTAGTTGACAATAATAGAGGCTAAATATTTTGCAATTATATAAAGTAGAAAAAGGTTTTAAGTTAAATTTATGACCCGTCAAAAAGGGTTGTATCACAACTTCCTGCTACTGCTTTTGCCGACTAAACTGTTAAAGGCTTTATTCTCCCCCTCCTCTTTTAGATCGTAAGCCCTCAGGGGCAGGGCCCTCCTTACCATCTTGTCTTGAATTGTATTGTGATTGTAATGTCCCTTATATTGTAAAGCACTGCACAAACTATTGGCGCTATATAAAAATACCATGTAAAAAGAATAATAATATTCTACCCAACACACAGAATATATCTTGCTCTCTTAGGATGGCAATACAAAGACCTAAACAGTTTAAAGCAGCTGTGGTCAACTTCATGACTATAGGAAGCCTTGAGTGTGGCTCCCAACATGTCCAGATAGCCGCACAATAGTTTACTTTTCATAAATTTGCGCTGCTTTAATGCAACGTAAAACATGCAACCTGTGCATGCTCTGCAATTCATTTTGAATTAAACTTCAACGTACTACTGCAGTAGCAGGCAAAACACCCACATTGCACATGCTTTGCGTTGCATTAAAAAAGTAATGTCTGATTTTTAATGTGGTAAGGTGCTAAAATGCATAAAATTATTTACAACATTGCACTTGCTTATGCATTAAATGCAAACCCAGAAGTGCCTATGTATTTGGTGTAACCCTAGAATGAATGGGGAGAGAGTTTTTAATTAAATGTATTTTCTTTTATAAAATTTTCTTCCCTTAAATATCTACAAAAATGGTTGCCAATTGTTTTACCAAGGAAAGTGGAGACAATGTTACCGTATATGAACCACATTTGTTTATCAGTCAAGTCGGTCAATCACAATGGCAAAGTCCAAGTGTCACACAGTTTGAGTAGACATGGGACGTTTTCTCACCACCAATCATTCTTGAGATCTGCCCATCTCTGACTCTCTTTATGTTTTTTATTTTTACCACAATAGCTATTAGTTTATTACGTTTGCCCTCCAACCAAACAGCTTTTACCCTAATGCCCATCAACAAACCTACCTATGGTGCCGTTTGTACTTGGTTTAGAAGGTGAACCCCCCCATGGATCAGAAAATGTTGCAGCAGGAGCCCAAGGGTCCGTAGCTTGCTTGGCTGCAATTGATGGACTTGACGACCAAGGATCTTTGCTCTGCACACCGCCAGTAGCTGTGGAACCTTTAAAAAAAAAAAAAAAAAAGAGCATTGTACAATTGTAAATAAAAAAAACAGTATCAGTACCAGTGACATATCATGGGTCATGGGTAGCCAAGGCTCATTGATGCACGTGGGGAGCGAATGATGGACCGTGTAGTCTGATCCAATAGAAGAGCTACTGTAGCTAAAAATGTAAATGATGGTTCTGATAGGAAGGTGTCTAAACGCACAGTGCATCACAGTTTGTTGCATATAGGGCTGTATAGCCACAGACCTGTCAGGGTGCCAATACTGACCCGTGTCCTACAATGTGCACGTGAACATCAGAACTGGACCAGGGAGGAATGGAAGAAGGTGGACTGGTCTGGGGAATCACGTTTTCCTTTACATCATGTTGATGGCCAGGTGTGTATGTCGTGCTGCGGGAAGAAGGCAAGCTGGCAGAGGCAGTGTGATACTTTTGGAAATGTCCTGCTGGGAAACCTTGCGTCCTGCCATTCATATGGATGTTACTTTGACATGTGCCACCTACCTAAACATTGTTGCTGACCAAGTATACCCCTTCAAGGAAACAGTATTGCCTGATGGCAGTGGCCTTTTTCAGCAGGAAAAAGGTGCCCTACTACACTGCAAAAATTGTTCAAGAATGCTTTGCGGAACACAACGATGAGTTTGAGGTATTGACTTGGCCTCCAAACTCTCCAGATCTCAATCTAATCGAACATCTGTGGGGTGTGCTGGGAAAAAAAGGTCCAATCTGTGGAGGTCCAACCTCGCAACTTAAAGGAAGGATCTGCTACTGATGGATTGGTGCCAGGTACCACAGCATACATTAAGCGGTCTAGTGGAGTCCAAGGCTCGACAGATCAGGGCTGTTTTGGCGACAAAAGGGGGACCTACTCATTATTAGGTGGGTGGTCATAATGTTGTATGTGTATGTGTGTGTATATATATATATATGACTACACTAGAGACAAATTCAAAAATTAGGAGGCAGCTGTTATTTGTAAGGAGCACACGGAGCTCCTGGGATTTGTACATCTCTGTTTTAATGTATGATTCTGTTTTTTCATCTTAAAGTGGATCTAAAACATATTGTTAATGAGTATCAGTATGTGCTGCTTTTAGCAATTTTAATTTACAATAACATTTTATTTTATACGTGCTATAAGATCACAAACAGAAGGGATGCTTGCACGTCAAAGCTCTTAATACGTATAGACACAGATTTTTTTCTTCTTTTTACAGTAAAGGACAAAAACCAGAAGGTATTTGGACAAGAAATCTGGAAAAACCATGTAAGCAACTATGCATTTAAAAAAACATACTTTTTTTTTGTACTAAAAAAATCAATAAAAATAAAAATGTTCCCTTAAAAGCAAACAGCATATATGAATGCAAGCCTTTTCATTTACAACATGGAATCTGAGTTTAAGATAGTTAATCCAATACATGTCTGTGTTCCTGCTCAGTTATCGTAAGATTAAAAAAAAAAAAAAAAAAACCTACCCCCTGGATTCCATGGATCTGAGACAGACTTGGCTTCAATAGAAGATACAGCTGCTTTCCCTGTCCATGGGTCGCTAGCCGTACTACCAGCCTGGACACCAGCACCCCATGGATCTGTGCTTGCACCTGTAGCCACCGGAGGGCCACCCCACGGGTCAGACACAGCAGGTACTGCAGAAGTTGGAACTGCCCCAGCCCAAGGGTCTGAGGGAGGAGCAGCTGTTGCTCCCCATGGATCTGATGCAGCGACTGCTGCAGGTGGAGAGTTGAATACATCTGCCAAGTCCATTAAGGAAGACTGCAACATAAATCAAATATAAATTTAAAAAACAGAAGATGGAATTATCACAAAGTGCTCCTTGGTCACCCTTTTCTTTTACAGTGTTGTGCGGAGTCTAAATTCCGGACAGGCAATTGGGCATGTGGTCCCTAGCACTGCATCTTAGGAGAATTTAAAAATACTGGTTATTTTCAGGGGCTGAAAGCAACGATAAAGTGGAATCTTAACTCTATGCTGTTGATCTGCAGCCTCTTTGCAGCCACTACATGCCTGTGCTACAGCATCAGCTACACGTGAATACTCAGGGTGGGCTTGGTAACTGTGACAATGATGGCATGACTGTGGCGTCAATGACAGTGCAAAAAGCATTGGCATGGTTGCTTGTAGCCTCTATTGGAAGCTTACGTCACAAGGTGACAATAGGGAACAAATGGGAGACAATGATAGAGCATTGCCACCAAAGAAACAGAACATGCCTGAACAAGGACCTTCATAGTAAGATCACAAGATAGCATTTAAAAGCTGCAGATTTAAAAATGACTTAAAACATGTTAAAGATTCTATACAAATTTTAGTGACTAATGTCACCTTTAGTGAATTTTATTTCTTATATTTTATGTGTAGAATTGTGCATATAAATAACATTCTGCCACCAAGGGGCTGCATGACCTGCAAACAAGTCAAGGTACATTATAGTCACCTCTTCCTGCTTAGTTGGAGCCTCCTTTCGGCTTTCTTCAATGGCCATTTGGAGTCTGAGGTCATCCCCCCGTTTGATTCTTTCCTCCTAATATGAAATAAAAAAGGATTGTAAACAAGCCCCCTTGGTCAGGGACATTCACTTCATGAAAAATTGAACCAGTACTAAAAAGTCAACTTTGACAATATGGACAGAGAACATCAATATCTTCCTCAAAGTAGGAATACAGCAATCTTTCTACATTACAATCTTTTCAATGAAGCTCTTGTACAGTACAACTTCTAATATATCCTATCATTTTACACGAGTTCCTGGAAAGTGATATAAGCTTGCACCCGTTACTTGGCTGCTGGAGTCACTGCAAATGTTTGCACAGACTCCATTACTGAAGTGGCTAGTTTTTGGATTCCAAATTAGTTTAACTCTGAATTTAAATAATTAGCATGTATGCAGAAATTTGAATGGGTACATTTTCCAGCAACCAAAAGAGCTTGGCAAAACAATGCTGCGTTTACATTTCCGTGCAATATGTCTGCGTCTGACTTCAGTTTGCCCTTAAAAGTAGATAAAATATGGTAATATAAAGATTAACTAATTAAAACAAATTACCTTATACAGATTTAGTGAACTGTTTAAAACAATGTAGCAAGATTGCTGCTTCCCATGAAAATGTGACGATACGAAATGGTTTGAAAAGAAAAAAGAAAAAAATATCAAATTTCGAAACAATTTAAATGAAAACAAAGAAACCCCACACACTTTACTTTCCATACACCTAAATATTACGATGGGTTAGAACAAAAATACATAAAAACAAAAAATCGGAAATGTTACAGCAACCAATACAAATGAGCCATCATTTTCTAACCAGTGCTAGAAAAATGAGAGCCCATATCTAACTGGATGCCATTGCCAGCACCTCAATGTATAGCGCACAATTGGGCTTATTTAGCCAAGTGATGCAAAGTGCGATAGCTTGGAACAAGTATGCCGATTAGACTTTCCGATTACGCTCTGACTTTGTGAATGTTTTACCAGGTCAGTAAATCAAAGTACTGAAGCCAGAGACAGCCAGATAACTAGCAATTCCAGAAGTCAGCAAAGGCAGCCTTCATATTTTTTGGTACAGCTGTTCTGGGATTCTCACTGTTCCGTGTGCATGCAGCATGCATGGTAACACATGTGTATTTGTGAATGCGTTCATTTAGATTTAGTTTCCCTATTCCCATGCACACAGCTGTGAACCAGTCTTCATAGAAAAGTACAGGATTTCTATTTGGCATGCATCTCCAGGCAGCAAAATATATTTGTTTTTCTGCATGAAAATGGACAAGTGTGAATAGGCCCTTTAAGAGGACCTTCCATTTTTTTATGTTGTTTTAGCTTTGGGCAGAGTGGTAAAGGCTTAGATCCTGTGAGGTTTTACTGCAGTGTGTGTCACTGTTGATGTTTCCCCTATTGTCCTGCCCAAAAGATCAGTACTGTACTGCATTATCCCCTATTGCCCTGTCTTAATAACTGGTAGGGTTCTGCAATAACCAGTATTTCCAGCTTCCTCTCCCTGAAGTGCATTCTCCATATATTCTTATGGATAATCCAGAGAGCCAGTAACACTTCCACCAGAAACTAGGAGGCAGCTCCAAGGGAGTATATGGAGAATGCACTACAAAGAACAGAACAATGCCCAGGAATTGAGGGGAAAGGTGCAGAAAGCATTCAGAGCCTCAAAGGATCTAAACCCTTCCTCACACTATTGATTAAAAAAGTTTTGTTTAGAACAGTGTATATCTGGATGCCATGGGGTGCATTGCAAACGGTTTTCGATTGTTAAATAATTCTCAACATGCACAATTGTTAGTGTTGCATAGCGCACTTAATGTAACAAAAGAAAAACCCAGTGCTTTGTATTTGGAAGGCCAAGTGGTCCATTGATGGTAATAATTAACAGGTTAAGCATGCCATAAAGCAGAAGGATTGAGGGAATAACAGTCACATGAACAATCGGTAAATGGTCTGCCAAGTCTAACAGAGTGGATGTCAAAACGTCATGCAAAACATTTCACACAAATGTACGTTGTAAGTCCTTGCACCAGAAATAACACATCATGGCTCACTATTGTGAATCTGACAAAGACTACACTGTAATCAAAGACTGAAATGACAACCTTTGTCTTGAAAATCAAATCAAGAAATCGGCAATATAAATGCTAGACCCTTTTTCCAAATAAACTAAGATTTGCCATGTTCTGCTTAACATAAACCTGTGGCTAAAATCAACCAAAATAGCAGCCACTTACCTCATCACTGACTATCCAGGTTCCTGCGGAGGAACAAGTACAGAAAAAGCACTCTCCGCTGTGCTTTAAGTCCCAGCATTCAATGCATCTGAGCAAACCCATTGGCTAACTGGTGGGTGGGACCAATAGAGGGGGAGACTATTGGTTGAAACTCAAACATTAACAAAATATTGCTTGCTTGCTGGGTATTGTCAGCTTTACACAAGTGGGTAATGCCAGAGATGGGTGCATCACTCTTCCATTCAGTGCTGCTGAGGTAGAATAGGGAGCATGTCAATGCTGCTATATCTCCTCAGAATGTCAACCAATGGCTAACAAAGCAGAGAGGAAAAGGCAGTACTGGGTTTCTTCAGGTGCTCTGAATGGTGGGACTACAAGAGTACTTCCAGTGTACTAATTCCTTCATAGCCTGAATGGTTCATTGATGATGCAAGAGGCCACCATTTTGGTTAATGTAGGCAAGTAGAACTGAAGCCAAAATTGCTTTTTTAGTTTTGGATAGAGTAAGGGTGGGTTATATGTCAGCCATCTGTATCCCACTAGGGAGATTTCCCCTTACTTCCTGTCTGATAGCCATAACAGGGACGTGGGAGGAAATCCCTCCAAAGGAAGGGAAATCCCTGGTGGTCAGCAGGGTCACCAGAACTAGTGCCCCCATTGGAAGGTTTCTATTTCTGTTCTGATGGCAAACCAAAATTGGTGATTTTCTTTCATTTTTAGAGTGATAATGGTCACTAGGACAAATAAAGAGGGTGAATCTCCTTGATGGGGACACAGAACAAAATAAAAACCTGACAGAAGTTCCAATCTCTCTTCACTACAAATCT